AAAAGAAAGGCATCAGCTTCATGGGCCACTTCATTCCAAATAAGGTAGGACTCAGAGACCTTTATAATCTCTGGGGCCCTAGGGTGGATATGGTCATAAAAATATAGTAAAATCAATATGATTCAAGGTTGCTGCTGATAAGCTGTGAGTTTCCATAGGGAAGAAAATATAAAGTAGGGTTTTTCTAAGAGGTCAGGTGAAGGTTGAACTAAAGAAAGATGATAATTCCACAAGAGAAAGCCAAGACCCATCATTAGTAGAACAGTTAAAAAGATAAAATTAGATTTTTATTTCTTTCTGACTTTCTTGGTGTAGCAATCTGAAGAATTTAAAGACATTAAAAACTGGAATTTTAGGAGAGAAGCCTGGGCAATGTTTTTGACAACTTTATATAAAATACTCAAAGTTGACCTGGTAAGTTCCAAAATGAATGTTCCTATAATAGTTACCCAATATCTATTAATGCATATTTCAGTTGAGGAGTGAACAATAGCTTCTTTTCCTTATAGCAGTTCTTTGAGTATTTAGAACTATCTTATTTAAGAGCAGAAAGACTGTAAAAATAATTGCAGTCATGGTCCAACATATAGGGTATTAATATATTATTTCCATTAGATGAGAAAATTGAAATATTTTAGAGCTTTTCAGTGTTACCTTCCTTATCTGAAGAGCGTTAGATGCCATTAAAACTTGTTCTCAGATTTTCTTGAAGAATTTGGATTCTAGGAGTGGTATGCATGTCTTTTTAACTAACCAGAATAGATGGATTATAGCAGTGGTTCCAACTTTTGATATTTATTGTAAAACAAAAGCTAAATATTATAGTTTTTTTTGTAAGCCCTCAGAATGACATGACAATTTTGATGTACTATGGCACATGTGCCAGTATAAAGGACAAAAACACAACAAAGTTTGATTAAAAGAGACTATCCTTGAATAAGTCACTTTGAGATTTTGTTACATCATATCTAAGTGTGATTGGTATTGCCTAATCTACACAGAGTGACGAGGAGGAGTGTGCGCTGAGTAATGCAGCTTTGGAACAGCTCAGCATTGTATCTTGGCTGTAGCTTTGAAAGCAATGCTTTGTATACATGGCAAATGTGTTCCTATTTTTTTTTTTTTTTAGACAACCACTTCATTAGTATTGCTCTCCTTAGATTCATTTTTTTCTCCCTTGGCTTTATGTTTGACAATAGTAACTACTCTTTATAAGGTTTCCTCCAGGGCCATACTTTTTGGAGAGCTTCATTGTTCACCTTCTGTACAGAGAATAACAATGAAGAGTTTTGTAAGAATTACCTATTAGTTTTGTGATTAAATTCTGGCTAAGAATCAGTAGAATGAAACCCTAAACTTCATTCCTAAATCACATCCTAAAGCTTTTTCTGAGCAGTTTTCAATCTCTGAGCACTGCTATAGAGCCAAATAATATCTATGTAGTTAAAAACAAAACAGACATTAATGATAAAACTAATACTTGTGATAGTTGACAGGAGTATTAATGTAGATTTTAAAATGTCTAAATAACAAAAAAAGTATAATGATTGAAAACTTGACTATTGAGTAACAAACTTTGGAAAATTGTATTTTATGGTTAACATGAAATTCCTGCTCCAGTGTGTTCTTTTCTTTTCTTGAAAAAGTGGAAGATCTTTTCCAAGTTCATTTGTTTCCTAATGAAAGGCAATTCTCTAAGTCCTTTTATCTCTTTGAATTTTCCCTTTGCCTTCTGTCACACTCATCCTCTGTCTTTTCCAATAGCTCCTTTCTCACCAGTCTGTTGATTGGAGTATTGTTGTTATGTGTAGTCCTAGTCTCAGGAGACTGAAGCAGAAGTAGGACTGGAGAAATAGGTCCTGTGTCTCCACTAAACAAGTCCCTATTTTTATCTCTTCACAGTCCCTGACAACCACTATTTTACTTTCTGTGAATTTGACTACTTTAGATGCTTCATGTAAGTGGGATCATACAGTTGTCTTTTCTGGCTGGCTTATTTCATTTACTGTAATACCCTCAAGGTTCATTCATGTGACAGAATTTCTTCCTTTTCAAGGCTTTTCAATGTATGTCTATACCACACTTTATCTTTTTATCCATTGATGAACACTTGGATTGCTTCCACTTCTTGTTTTTTGTGAATAATGCTGCAATAAAAATGAGACCATGAATACATCTTCAAGGTCCTGTTTACATTTCTCTTTGATATATATTATACAAATAGAATTATTGAATCAAATATTCATTCCAAGGCATCACCATACTGTTTCTACACTGCATAATGCACACAGCTTCCCATTTCTCCACATTCCCACCAACACTTATTCTTTTTTGTTTTTTCATAGCAGCTACCCTAGGTGGAGGTTTGGTGATATTTCATTGTGTTTTTGTTTGTATTTTTTAATGATTAATGATATCAAACTTTTTTCATATTCTTATTGGCAATTTATATAACTTCTTTAGAGAATTGTCTTTTCAAGACCATTTTTTAAAATTTTTGTTTGCTTGTTGAAGCACAAGAATTCTTCATATATTGTAGATATTAATGTTTTGTTGGGTCTATGATTTACAGTTGTTCCACCTTCTGCATACTGCCCTTCTATTCTCTTGAGTATGTTATTAGATGCACAGAAACTTTTAAGTTTCATATTATTTAATTTGTCTATTTTTGGTATTGTTGCCTGTGCTTTTCGGGTCATATCCAAGAAATCATTGTCAAATCCAATGTCATAAAGTTTCCTCATGTTTTCTTCCACAATTATAGAGAGTTTTAAGGTTCATTTTTAGGTCTTTACTTCATTTTGAGGTGTTTGAATGGTGTATAGATCCAACTTCATTCATTTGCCTATGGATATTCAGTTTCTCCAAAGCCATTTTGTCAAGACTGACCTTTACCCATCGAGTAATCTTTATGCTGTAACACAAGCTTTGTTTACTGTAGCTTTGTAATATGTTCTGAATCAGCAAATATGACCTCCATCTTTGGAGTGTAAAATACCAAATTTTCCCCTTTTCTTCCAGATTTTTTTCTGTGTGTGTGTGTGTGTGTGTGTGTATTTGGAGTCATTTGTTTAATTTGTAAGGGTGGCTTTTCTGTTTGTAGAACAGAGAGAATAGAACCTGTTTTTTATGAAAAGCATAGAGATCAAATCAGAGGAAGCGACACATTCTGGGGTGCCTTTGATACAATGGACGGTGTGGGTGTTTGTTGGAAGAAAAGTAGCCACCATGACCTCAATAAAAATTTGCTTCCACTGCTACCCTTGAAACCCATGGGAGGAGCTTTCCCTCAAGCTTTTAACCATGTCTTTTAGTGTGTTTTTCTTCCTTTCACAATTTGTGGTTGTTGAGGATTCCATTCTGAAATTATAGGTTAAATCAAAACTTGAAACTTTGAACTTTGCCAATTGTACTGGCACTCATGAAATGACACTATATGATGTGCTCTGGGCATTCGGGTGGGCAAAGCAGACCCAATCCCAGCCCTCACAGGACTTCATGCAGCAGCCTCTTGTGAATGTGGACAGAGCCTGACATGTATCAAGTAGGAGGACAACTTCAAGTTTGCCTTTCTGGTTACAGAATATAACTTTCTAATTTTTCAAGGGCATGCTCTGATAAGTTTTCATGAAGATGAAGGGATACTTTTCTATTTTCTTTAAAGGAAATTCAAATACTTCATTGTTATGAAACAAAATCTGTGCTGTTCTATAACTTAATGAGCAGTCTTACTTTGAATACATTTAGGTTTTAATCAATGATTTATTTCCTTCTCTAAAGCCGTGAAAGATCCTCTCATGCTCTGCAGAAGTAGTGAGAGCCAAAATATTTGTTGGCAAGGGGAAAGAGGAGCAGAATTGAAGCCATGCTCTCCTACATGGAAGAAGGGGCCAAATTGTACCCAGACAGATTTTAAAAACAAGAATGTGTACTTTCTGGGAAATCCCATGCCCTGGAGTTGAAAATTTACTCATGAAAACAATTTTTTTTTCTAGAAGACCTTAATTACCTTCAGAGAAGTTAAAAACATTAAGCAGCAACCTAAGGCCTCAGTGCCTGGCATATAGTACATGCTATATAAATGCTAAATAGTAAATTTGAAATATCTACAGCTTTATTTGTTTTCTTTATTTGATTTTATTTGAAAAGCTTTGAGGTTTATAGCAAAGATGGAGAGAATTACTTTAATGAAGTTGGGGGAATATATACATAGTACAGGAACTTAAGTTTTGCTAGGAAATTTCGTAATAGGATACAGCAATATTATAAAATGTTCACAGCCTCTTTCATTTTTTCAAATGCAATCGTCTTTCTCTTGATATTAATATTTATATTTTTGATGGTTTTTGCTGATTTTGAATGGATTAGATCACACTAACCTGAAATAATGAGTCTATATTTATATGTTAACGAGCTTCTGAGAAATTAGATTAACAATTTATCATAAGGTGTTCAGTGTCCTAGAAACATCTTTTGTTTCTGGTTTTGTTCACATTCTGAAAAATCTCCAGCATTGAAATAGCATGGCAAAATTTTTTAGAGTTAGATAGCACTCTGAATTTATATTATGAAATATTCTTTCTTTGGATTGCTATGCATATCAAAGGTTGCAGATAGAGCCATGACAACATGAATCAATTTTTAAAAATGAATATGCCATTGGTTTACTGAATTATTTAATTTTCCTTTCTATGTGGGTGAAATTTTAGCTATAAAACATTCATTTTGCTAAAAATTCTTAATCAGGTTTATGAAAATATCCTTGAAATATTTACATACTCCAAATTTTCAGTTCCATAAAATAGCACAGAGCCTATGAAAACACTGATATGTTATATTAGCATAATAAGAAAGCATCTGTGAAATGTCCTGATAAAAGATTAGTATGCCAAGGTTTTGTCATTGTAATATGAAAAAGATGACTTTGGCAAAAAGTAAAACTTTAGAGTTTGGGAAATGTTTCTGATACTGAAGCTGCTGCCTTTGATTTTATTTTGTAGGTCATTGTTTCTCAGACTAGATGCTGAGTCCAGTGAGACTCTGAAGATATCATGAGTGTTCTTGGAGATCAGAGCAGACGAGATCCAACAGAGGTAGGTGGCAGTGGAGGATTGAAGGCAATTATATAAATGAACCTGATGCTCTCTCCCTCTGCTCTCCCTCATGTAGATTTCTTTCAGTTTTTTCAAATCTTCTGCTTTGCTAAAAGAGGAATGGCTACTGGTGAACTTCTCTTTACTTTCTTCCTTCCTTGGTAGTTATAACTAATGCTTATTGAGCAATTATTTTGTGCCAAGGCACAATATTCTAAGTGCAGACAGATAGTTTCATTTAAACCTCAGCATAATTCTGTGAGATGTATACTATTTATTTTCCCCTTCAGGTCATACATGGAGAAACTGAGGATTGGAGAGTGTTAGTGATTTGTAAAAGGTCATTTGGCTAAAATGAGGAATTGATTTTGAATACACTCAGCCTGAATACAAGATTCAAGTCTTCCCCATTGGTGTCTTCAATAGGGCACCTCAGACAGAACATTTGGGGAGGCTTTTTCAAAAGGCAAACATGCTTCCTCCAGTCATTAAGGAATGCCCTTTAGAACCCTCAGTCTCTGCTTAAGAATTAGATTGTCTAATGAGAGAAGGAGAAATTGTTATTTAAAAAATGTTCAGGAGACAGAGGTTGGCAAATGTTTGAAAGCCTTGTTAGTTCTCCAACTGCTCAGACTACTTTGACACAGTTACATATTATTTTTCATGAGGAGAACATTACTGTATAAGCCTACTTCAGTCTCTTTTTGAGAAAGGTACTAAAGTATGTCCCTCTCTCCCTCCTTTGCTCTCTTCTCCTGTCCTCTACTTCTTACAAGATAACCATGTAATACTGTGGTCATCCAGGAACATATTTAACAATTAAATTTTTGAGAGAATTCCAAACATGAATAAAAATAGGACTTCCAGTAATGTTGCCTTGAAAGGCTAGGGCAATTCCACACACAATGTTAAAGCAAAAATGGACAATATTATTAAAGACAGCTAGTTGAAGTCACTGAAAAAATTGAGAAAAATATCTTCTTTGAAGGCAGTTATTGCATTGGATAAGTACAGTAGTTGTATCTTTGCTGCTTAGGTGGGCTCCAGAAGATCAGCTCTGACACAAGAAAACTTCAGCCTTACCGGTGTGAAAGGGAGATGCCAGAGTTAAGAGCCCCAGAGGTACCAGTAAGGTACAGGGGGACTTTGGAAGCAAGAAATCCACCTTTACCTGACAGGTTGTTTTATTTTCTCCCTCACATATAATGTTGGGATATGTGTTACTACTGATAGGCTATTCTCTCAATGCTCTGAGAGGGTCTCTAGTCTCATAGTTTGTATTATGGTCTCCATGTTTCTCTCTCACTGTCTCTTTCTCTGTCTCTCTGTCTCTCTCTGTCTCTATCTTTCATTTTCTTGAAAAGCATTGCATATGTTGGGATATTGATGGAAGAGCAGACACTTTTGGACTTTATGTTTAACTTTGGTATGGATTGAAGTCTTCCTCTAGGAGGTGAAGTCTGCAAGTGTAGAGGGAAACAAATGCATTCTCTAAAAAAAAAATTCCTTGCCTTGGGCTAATATACCTAGATTTAGATATACCTAGAGGAGGAGGAAAACAAGATTTAGCCTAGCCTGGGCTCTTTACTTATCTTCTGCACTCCACAGCCATTAAAATGACGATTGATCCACACACATCACTCTTCAAGAGATCAATTAAATTTCTCTGAACTACACACACACACACACACACACACACACACATATATAATTTTTCATGCAGTTATGGAAGCTGAGAGGACACAAGATATTCAATCAGCAAGCTGGAGGCCCAGAAGAGCTGATGGTAGAGTTCCAGTCTGATCTGAAAGCTTGAGAACCAGGAGGGTTGGTGGTGTGAGCTACAGTCTGAGACTACTGTCAGAAGATTGATAACTCAGCTCAAAGACTCTACAATCTATGCTTCTGACATGCAGAAGCTGGGCTGCTCCAAACTTTTGTTACCTGAATGTTCAACAACTCTAGTGAGGCTATTATAGAATCCCTCAGGCAAAAATGGAAACTGGTTAATATTTTTGGTTACTACTTGGTCAAAAGGAATAAATCTTAGAGATGATTGTTCTTGATCATAATAAAATGTAGCTGGAGAACTACAAAACCGACTACAACATAGGACAACCTTTGTAAAGACAGTGACAGAGAAAAACAGTGCCATGAGAATATAGGATGAGCAATGGAGGAGAGCATTTTAGTTGCTTTAATTTTTAAAATTATTTATGTTGGCCTTTGCTTGTTTTGGATGGCTTTTGTTTCTATTAGGGTAAAATTTGCATGCTATAAAATTCGCTATTTCAAAGTTCACAATTCATTGTTTTTCAGTATAGTCACAAAACATGTTCTGTTACTAGGAAATTTTATTTCCTGAGCCTTTTCATTTGACATTTAAAATAATCAGAACTGAGCATATGCTTGTAGTCCTAGCTACTTGGGTGGCTAAGGCAGAAGAATCTCAAATTCCAGACCAGCCTGGGGAACACAGTGAGACCTTTTCTATAAATGAATGAATGAATGAATAAATAAATAATAATTAGCATCTTTACTTGTTAAATGGCTGTTACTTGTGGTTCATTGTTTTCTCATTTTCTTGGAGCAATCCTGCGATTGGATATTCATTGGTGAAAGCCCCATGCAATAGGAAAACAACTTTGGATTACCAACCTATGTAAAACTTATTAATAGGTAGTTTTCATTGTAAGGATGGCTTTCTTTTCTTGGAGGGAAGGGGTATCTGTGACAGTTATTGTACTAGAGCAATAAAAAGACTGAAAATTATAATTATTTATAGTTAACTATCAGAAGTGTCTGTAGACTTAGCCTAGAAATGTCTCCAATCTCACACTTTGTATTCAACATCTGTCACATTGGATTATCAGACCTGTCTATGAATCACCTGCTATATGAATGCTAACTAAAATATGTCAACTTGAGTTGAGTAAGAATTGCCTCGAAGATTGCTGAGTTCTGAGTGTTTATGGATGACTGAGATGAGGTCCAGTAAACAGAAGGGGAAGACCCATGCTGGATGTGGGTAGCTCCAACCAATAGGCTTGAGGCCTGGATAGAATAAAAAGGGAAAGAAGAAGGAAGTGTTCCCATTTTGAAAAGCTTCAGTCTCTGCCATTGCCTTTAGACATTGGTTTCCAGTTGCTTCAGCTTTCAAACACAGACTTGCACTAGCAACTTTACAATGAGCTTCTAGGCTTTTAGGCTTTTAAACATTTTTTATTTGAAAACTTTTTTTATTGGATCACATTTGTAGTACATAATGATAACATTCATTGTGAGGAGTAGGATTGTGTACATGTTTTAGCTTTGATTGCTACTGGATACCCTGGCTTTCCAGCTTGCAGACAGCCATTGTGGATTCTTCTGTCTCTGATTCCACAAATGGCTCTTGTGGACTCCTCTGCCTCTGATCCTGTAAGCCTACTTCATAAATCCCCTTGCATAATTATGCATAATTTTTCTATTGATTCTGTTCTCCTTAAGAACCCTAAATAATACAATGAAATAGAAGGACATAAGTAATAATCATACAAGGAAACCTCAAAAATTACAATAACTTCACAGTACTGTTTACTTCTATTGTCTTTATCCATTCACAGTTTGCAGTGTTCATAATAGCAGTGTTAAGGAGAGAGTCCAGTCATAACATATAAAAATTCTTCTTTTGAGTGAAGATTTTCCTTTGATTATCTGTTGTACCAGTAGAAATTGTTGGCTTTGGGACAAGGAAGGCTGATGTTATCGATCCACTTTCTTTCTTCTTGTGCAATACTCACTGTTTGTCATTGAACGGCCCTTTCTTCTGTTAATGCCTGAAAATGAGCGCAACCAAGAGGTCCGTCTTACCAATTTTTAATACTGTAGTAGTGTATTTTACCTAATACTCAATGCTGATACTCTGGAGCCAATATCAGTCAGAGATACATTTTGAGTTATTTGTTTCTGGGGGCAAGAAATCTATTCTGAGTTGCTGAGTTGCTTTGTGTGTGTTTAGTGGTGCAAGACTCTGATGAAGTCTTTGGGCCTCTGCGCAAAGGTCAGATGAATGAAACCTCATCAAGGCCTGGTATGAAATTCTTTTTAGTACTTAGCAAGTCTAATTGTTTGTTCATTTTGTCTTTTTCCCCATTGGACTGGATGTCCCATGAAGGAAAGGGTTTTTCCTATTTACTTTAATTACCCACTATGTCCCATAACATCCTGCAAATGACAAACGTTCCATAAATGTTTATGTAATGAGTAAATGCTGAATTCCCCAAAACATCTCGTGTCTTCCTGCTTCCTGCTCATTTTTAGAGACAACTACTTTGACAAAATGTACAGAGTTGTCTAATTTTAATAACAGCAAGCCCCAACAGGCACTGGATAGGAGCCTAACTCTTAAAAACATATTAAAGTCCCAGTCACTCTGCTGATGGTAGAATGAATGTAATTTTTCCTGGTGCAATAGAAGCAACTCAAGTAACACTCAGTATTTTTTTCATGTACTTTGGCCTGTGGGGTACAAACAAATGAAAAGTAATTTTATCGCAGCTAAACAATCACCTTGCAGAATCCCAGAGCCTGTGGTATCTTGAATTGCCGAAAATATCTCAGCTCTGCTGTCTCCTTAAGACATACATCTGTAGATCATGCTCTGCCGAAGGGGATTATTTTGTTATTTCCGATGATGCATCATGCAAAGGGCACAGAAAGCAATGTTGTTCTTCTCTTGCTGCAGATTCTGGGGATATTTGCAGGAAATTAGATACTTTCTTCTGAGAAAACTCATTGGCTCTAGTTATTTGTTACCCAGTTCAAAGCATTCTTTTGCCTTTGCCATGGGATGTTATGGAAATTCCCAGGGCATTTTTAAAATCAGAGATACCACCTGTTGGCTTTTGCCATCAAGAGCAAGTCACACTATGGAGATGATAGTTAAAAGATAACCTCTTATTTGTCCTTATATTATTTTCTTCAAAAAAGGGTGACACACTGCCACTTATTATGGCTTTATTTGGTACAAATTAGCCCATTTATTTTTTCTTAGTGTTTCTGATATCTTACAGATAGATTAATAAAATCATTGGTGTTTTCTTGTAAGTCTCTATTATTGTCTTTTTGCCTGTTTTTCTTGTCACATGTCCTGTATTATTATCTTTTAGGGTCATCATTCCTATTCTGGTATGATATTCCTTTTTAAAGGCCACTTGGTTTATTTTCCCTGCCTTTTGAGTTTCTTCTTTTCATGAGTCATATTTTGAATAAACTCCTAGATCAAGTAGACCCTCTTCTTACCTGGACACTGGCTTAAGATCCATTTGCCTTCTGGACATATTATACCTAGATTATGTGGATGAATATGAAAAAATATATTCTGTGGCTTACAAACAAAAAAAATTTTGTGAAAAATTTGTGGTAGTTACCTCTGTTCTCTTAATTGCTCAGCACTTGCCAAGCTGTCTTCTTAACTGTGTGAACTTGGTCTTGCTCACAATTATGTACAGTATGAGAGGAGAGGAATAATGCATTTTTTTCTTCTTCAAACATGATTTATCTTTCAATTAAAAAAATGAAGTGAACAATCTTCAAGCAACCATATTATAAACACGGTTTTACATGATGTTCCAAGTCCTAGAAAACTTATGTAACTTATTCAGTGTATACAGTGAGGCACGAAAGGAAACATGATTCCAACTAGGCAGTAAGATTTCCAATCTAATGCCTTACCTTCTAAATATAGTTTAGTCTCTCTGATAGGTTTAAAATGAATATATTTTCCAATTATATACTTGTAGAAATAACTGGAATAAGAAGTAGGGAAAAATTAAAAGATAAGAATATGTGAATTATCTTATTAAATATTAATTGAGTCCTATTGAGGTCCAGCCCTCTTACAGATTCTAGGGCTAGAACAATCAGTGGGCCAGCAGATCAGCCTTGCTACATGGGAATTTGTGTTTTGGAGGAAGTGGGTGGATGATCACAGACAAGAATAATAACAAATAATACAGCACAAATAATAGTGCCAGGAGAGAAATAAAGCAAGATGACTTGGTGTAACTCTCTTGCATGGATGGCCTGGGAAGGCCTCTCAGAGAGGTGGCACTGGGGCTGGGAGTGAATAGTCAATATTTTAAGGAATCAGAAATAAATGTTTTCAACTGTGTCAAAAAATCTGGAAACATAATGA